AGTGGAAACATCTTAACCGCAGAAGATCGACTCTAAACCAGCAGGCGAGCACTCTAGGGCAAGAAAATGTCAAACCCTGATTTCGAGAGGCTTGATTTCTATAAAAACATCCTGAGCGGCTGCAATTTGGGTCCATTTTGTAACAACTCCCAGCTGACTTTTTGCAATGCAAGCAACAGCAGCGGCACCGACATTGTTGATGATGGATCCCCCTGGTTAAGAATACTCGTCTCGGTGGTGTACTTTATTGTGGCTACAGCAGGGGTGCTCGGCAACTTGTTAGTCATGTTCCTGCTCTATTCCACTCACACCATCGCCACAGGCACCATCAACTTCTTTGTCTTCAACCTGGCCTTGGCTCACCTGCTCTTTTCTTTGGCTTTGCCTTTTTGGGCTGTGGAAGTGGCACTGGACTACAGCTGGCCCTTTGATTCAGCCACATGCAAGGCCGTGTCTTTGCTCACGGGACTGAACGTGTTCGCCAGCTGCTTCTTCCTGACAGCCATGAGCCTGACCCGCTACTGCTCCGTGGCCACAGCTCTAAAACCCAGCGCCTCCCTGTGCAGCAGGTCATGCACTTTCCCCGTGGCCACGGCGTTCATCTGGGTCGGTGCGCTCATTGCGGCCGCCCCCCGAGCTGTCTTCGCAGACCTCAGCTACGTGGGCAGGGACAACGACACGGCGTGCCTGCTCCGCTTCCCGGACGGTACGGCCTGGCTGGGAATAAACCAGCTCCTGCGAGTGGTGCTGGGCTTTCTGCTGCCGTATGCCATCATCATCCTCTCCTACCTGCTTCTGCTGCGCTTCCTGTGCAGGCACAAGCTGACGGGCAGCCGCAACTCTCGGCGCAAAACGGACATTTCCAAGTCTGTGGCCGTGGTGGTGCTTTCGTTCTGCGCCTGCTGGTTCCCGTACAACGTCCTCACTCTCTGGAACGTCCTGATCCAACTGGACGTCGTCGACATCACCACGTCCTTCTATGTGGCTCAGACCTACTTCTTTCCGCTGGCCAACTGTTTGGCTTTCACCAGCAGCTGCTTCAACCCTGTCATCTACTGCCTGGTCAGGAAAGAGTACCGCGCCGCTCTCAATAATCTGCTCTTCAAAGTAAGCATGACCATCAAGTCCACAGTGCCCTACGCTATAAACTCTGAGGACGGGTCAGGCCAAGCTGGGCCGTTTGCTATTCCCCTCAACAACATCTACAGCCAGACATCCCAAAGTGACACGAGGATGTACAAACCGCTGTCAATTCCAACTGTGGCATCACCCATGTAAAGCGTCAACACATCGTTCAACCTTTTTATGGAATACATCTGTAGAAACCTGTTATGATAAAAGTAGTGGTGGGCAATCCTAGTCTTTGGAGGCCGATATCCTGCATCTTTTACTTGCCGCTCTGCTCCAACACACCAGGTTTGAATGAATGAGTGATTACTAAGCTTCTGCAGAACTTGAAGAGGTAATTCAGCCACTGAATCAGGTGTGGTGGAGCAGGGACACAAGTAAGACATGCAGGACAGCTGCCCTCGAGGACCAGGATTTTCCACCCCTGCTTTAAAGGAATAGGTTAGTTTTGTTTTGTCATGTCAAAGTGTCCCTGAGCAAGATACTGAACCTGTCTGTTGGTGTACAAATGTGATCTAAAGCACTGACTAGTCTCTATGGAATGATTTATTCAGATTAGCTTTGCAGAGAGATACTGTACAGTAGAGTGCTGACTGAATGTGTGTGTGGATGGGTAAATGAGGACACAGATTGTGTTGTAAAGTGCTTAGAGTATYCTGGTTGGATAGAAGGGCGCTATAAAAGTACAGTCCGTTTACCATTTTGTTTTGTTTTGTTTTGTTTTGTTTTTTTGTCATTATTAATCTGCAGTCCAACTTGCTCAAAGAGTTATCCATTTGAAATCTCCGGCTGAAGTTCCCTTTGATGGAGCAGCAACCATCCAACTGGCCCACTTCAAAAGGACAAAGACCTCATTTATAAAGGGTTGTGTAATATTCATACTAAAAGTGTACATATGGCTAAAAGGCAAAAATGGCAAATGTCAAAAAAAAATCTGATTTATAAAACCGTGCACATGCAGATAGTTGCACCTCAGAGTTTCCAAGATCCCGTCTCAGGTTCTGCCCTCTACTGTACACACCGACATTCAACCATAAATGCTCAATGCAAAGTATCTCATGAATGTTGTATTTAAATGAGTCAGCTGATCAACGTCAGCTAAAGCGATTGGCCAGTTTAGGCACGCACTCTGTCGTGCGTCCGGAGGGAGACGGGTGTTGACGACTGCTCACATCAACAGATTGTAATGTACGCAGATTTTCTCTCATTTTGCAGGTACATAGACATTTAGAGCGATCTCAATTTTTTTCAAAAACTCAGCTTCAAATTTATTTTCTGTCTCAGAGCTTGTACGTTCAAAAACAAGAAATAAAAATTAAATAACCCAACCACTGCCACAACCATTTTTCTGCTAGATATAAGTTCACCACTCTTCTCCCACATCGTCTTTTCCTCCTGCTTTTCACTACAGCGTTTTAAAGTGAACCCTGTGCCTTATTTCTGCCGCGCTTTGTGTCAAATTTTTTACTCAAATTTTTTACTCAAATTTTAGGTTTTATTAATCAGAACCTATGCATGAAAAGTACGCAAGCCTGTTTTGTGTGTAAGCAAGCCTTGTAAATGCGACCCCCRAGCYTGTTGTAGGTATTTCAACAACAGTCTGTAGGACTGCCCTACAAGCTTGGATTAGACGTCAACACTCAATCCACTGGAGAGAGATGACAGACTGTAGACAGGCACAGGAACTGATTTATGTCCCAAATCTTAGGTTTGGGAAAGCTCTGACAAGGAAAACTTAAAGTATGCTGATTGGAGTCCTAACTGGGCACAGAATACCATGTAACACAATAATGACAGCAGAAAAGGTGTATAAAATAATTCCTGTATGAACTGCTGTGAAATCTTTGAGGGTGGAGTTGTTTTAAAATGGCTTCTTGGTCTGGGCTCCACGCTGACTAGCCGTTAGCGTGTCTCGCCTGAGAAAACAGCTGCCTGGCTAATAACAGTCTGAGCGATTTCTACTGAAGATTTATTATTTATTATTTATTATATTATTATTGACTAGTCACAATAACGTCATGGAACGTCTCTTCAAGTGTTCCGATTGTGTTTTCTATGACGGCTCATCTTTTCCCTCTTGTTCTGCATGATGTATAAATTGTAGTACTGTTCAGGTGCATAAAATGTAAGTGTTATAATATTTGGCATGACTGTATTTAACAATTTATTAATCTAATTTAAAAAAAATCTTCTTACTTTGTACAGCATCTCTTCTACTTTACTTGATGTTATTACTGTATGTTCTCAAGTTAAGTGCTGTTTTTGAAACAGATTTGCCCTGTAGGTGGTTGTCTTTGCTTCAATGTGTTGTGGTGGAAATAGTTCTGTCTTTGGTTGAACAGAATATAAATGAAAATAAACTGGAACTAAAGTATTTTTTTT